CTCCAAACCCGGGGAGAGAGCACCGTCAGAGTCCGGGGATCAGAGCTCCAAACCAGGGGAGAGAGCACCGCCAGAGACCGAGGATCAGAGCTCCAAACCCGGGGAGAGAGCACCGTCAGAGTCCGGGGATCAGAGCACCCAGCCTGGGGAGAGAGCACCGTCAGAGACCCCCTCTGAGAGCACCCAGCCCGAGACCCCCTCTGAGAGAACCCAGCCCGGGGAGAGAGCACCGTCAGAGACCCCCTCTGAGAGCACCCAGCTTATGGAGGTATCAGAGTCTGGTTCTGAGATAACCCAGCCCATGGACAGTTTAGCAGCAGGGTCTGGTGCCCAGCTGGTGGACTTGTTGCAGAGCTGCCCAGAACAGACCCTCCTGCTGGGCTCAGAGTTCTCCGGGCTGGGTCCAGACCTGGCCAACACCACCATCATCTACGTGCAGGCGGACGGCAGCCTGGTGGAGGGGTCGGGTCTGACGGCTGAGGAGCAGCAGGCCCTGCTGGAGCAGCTGACCCAGCAGCAGGTGGTCCAGGTCTCTGACAGCGAGGCGGCCCAGCTACTGCATCAGAGCCAGCTGCTCAGAACCACCACGACCCACAACACAGCTCTGGACCCCAGCCAGCTGCAGCAGGTCATCAACCAGGTCACCAAGTCCCAGCAGCAGGTCCAGGTCCCCCAGCAGAACCTTAAGCAGGTCCAGGTCTCCCAGCAGAACCTGAAGCAGGTCCAGGTCCCCCAGCAGAACCCCCAGCAGGTCCAGGTCCCCCAGCAGAACCTGAAGCAGGTCCAGGTCCCCCAGCAGAACCTGAAGCAGGTCCAGGTCTCCCAGCAGAACCTGAAGCAGGTCCAGGTCCCCCAGCAGAACCTGAAGAACGCCTCCCAGCAGCTGAAGACTGCAGCCCAGCAGGTGGCCATGCAGACCGGAGGCTCGGTGCAGGTGATCCAGAAGAAGGTGAGTCAGACGGGGTCCTGGTCCAGGTCCAGGAGCTGCCTGAGCTGTTGATTATTCTCTGTGTTAATGCAGCCTGTAGACCAGGGTCAGACTCAGCCAGATCACAGCATAATAACCTGTAAACAACAACATGTTCACATTTAAAGAACAACTCCAAGGTTAAAGACACCAGTGAATAAATTTGTAACGAAAATGATAAATACACTAGATTTTAAAAAATATATACAGAAATATACACTACAGTGACATCTGGCGTCGTTTTTGTAAGAAATGTTCACTTCCGCATAAAAAAGCCTCGGCACGTGACCTCCCGCGTGTGACGTAACACGGGGGAAACAAGGGGGAGAGCGGCCGGTGTAACGTATTAATAAACATGGATCCCAATGCTAGCTTTGACACAGAAGACACAGAAGAAGTTGAACATGAATATTCGAATGCATATGACGGACCACAACCTTATAATTATGAGCCTGCTAGGCGTCCAAGAGACCAGGAGCAGCCAAGGATTAGAAGAAATAACGGCCATCGGAGAGAAATTGAGCTGTGGTGTGAGGAGAACCAGTGGAGAACTGGGCAGCTATCTTGGTGAGTGACCGGCGTTAGCTACAGAATGTTAGCTAACGTCACATCACAACATTGTGAAGTTAGCTATCATATATCAGGCTATAACTAAAGTAGCATTGATAATATAGTAACGTTACTGGCAGGACTGTTGATACTGATCCATAACAGAAACTAATGCGCAAGTATCAGCCGTATCTCGCGTTACCTAATGCAACTCCACACTACGGTGCTGTGTACCGGAGGTGAGACGCGAGATACGGCTGATACTTGACGATCTGGCGGAGAAAGGTTGTGGAGCCTCCGTTGATATGCCGTTGTAAATGGCTTGATGGAAAGCAGGTGTGTAGTCGGGGAGGGTGCACAGCTGATTGCAGCAGGTGAGAGGAGGTTGAGCCGGGAGCCAGGAATGACAGCCACCACGCCCACACAAACAATACAGACAGGGGGAAACAAACAAACACAAAGGAGACGGCTGGAGCAGTACAGCCACCACAGCGTTACCTAATGCAAATCCACACTACGTCTTACGGTGCTGTGTACCGGAGGGGAGGGAGAGAGCAGCGAAGGGGGGGAGAGAGATGTAATACGGTTTCCTGATAAAGCTGTGGAGAGTATGTGCTGCAGGGAGGTGGATGCACAACGCACCCAGGAACGAACGCT